TATATCGATCGAGCATCGATCTATTGATGCTCTAAGAGCAAAGTGCTGAAGATTCAAGTTGTATTCAAATCAATCAGCAACACTCAAAAAGATCTGCAAATTTGCATTCCCAACAGCACAGCGGATGTGCCCCTTGTTAGCGTATCGCAATGCAGAATGATTCCTGCTCCATGACACAGCGCTCTAATTTGTGTGCATGTAATTATTTCAGGTAACTCGGCAGCGATTTGTCTGCGATCCGCGTTGGACGTCGCAACGTCGCTCTGAGACCCATTTTGGGCGGAGGGCAATGGCAACATATTAAAAGTAAGTGCCACTTAAGTTTTGCCTAAAACTTTGAGAACTTGCGCAAAAAACAAAACGCTCTGAGTACCGAGCGAGTCAGTCACAGTCGCAGAGTCTGGCAGTGAAGTGACTCTACTTGACTTCATGCCACACCATGCCACTCGAGTGGGGCACATTTGTAGTTATGGGTCGACGACGTGGATCATTCGAAACGAAGGGAGACGAGTGAGGGGCAGGTAGAGGGGGAGGGGGAGGGGGAGGGCTATAGACTATGTACTATGTGCAATGCAATTTCTAAAACGTGATTCGTGCAAAGACAAAATGCCAGCCTCAGTGGAGCACAACAAAAGACCATTAATATAATTTGTGTCTGGATATTGTGCCACTCTCCAAATTGGCTGTTTTGCCCGAAAGTCTGGCGAGCGTTCGTCGGCTCGTCCTAAACGATTATGAGGGGCCAAATCGGCCAAGTCCGACTCGAACGCTAAGGCAACATGCCACAGTTTTCATATCGCATTGTTTACACTGCTTGGGCTTCCTGCCCCATGCTCGGTTCTCAGTTCCCAGCGCTCAGCTTCCAATTTCAGATCAAATGGGCCGCTGACACGATCGTGTCGTCGCCCTCGGTCTTAAGTCGTGGGCGTGTGTGGGCTTTTACTTTTATTTATTTACCAGAATCAACGAAATGACCAGACAATTGACTCGCTGTCGCTTCATTTTTATTGCCAAACATCCGAATTGGCTTAATATGAACTAATGGCGCAGTAGCCCCCAGGGCCACATAAATCAATAGAGACAAATGTACTCACAATAGCCAACGAGCATTACAAACGTTGACGTTGAACCATTGACGTGTTGAGTGGAGCTTAGCGGGAGGATCTGGCGATGGATCTGAACGATTTCAGCGAGAATTCGTGAGACGAATTCATTCCGTTTGTTGCGCCACTCTCTCTCTCTCTCTTTCTCTGTTTTTTTTCTCTGGATAATATATTTTTTTAAATTTTCTGTTATCTAGCTATTTATTTTTCTCTATATCTTTCTTTATCTTTATCTTTTCGTCTATGCTTTTCTCTTTCCTGAAGCTCTCTTTCTCTCTACCTTTCCCTCCCTCGTTCTCTTTCCGTTTTAACTGCGCTGTCTCTCTGTTCTTCAATGTACCTCTATCTTTGTCTTTCCATGCCTCTCTCTCTCTCTCTCTGTTTTTTTCTCTAGATAATATATTTTTCTTATTTTCTGTATTCTTCTATATATATCTTCTCTCTGCTTTATCTTTTCCTGATTTAAGCTTTCATCTCTATTTCCCTCTATCTCACCCTCTCTCACTCTTTCTTGCTATAGCTCTATTTCTACAGATCTGTTTCTATCTCTCCCTGTCTCTCTCTTTTTCTATTTCCACTCTCTCTATATTTCCCCTTTTCCTTACTCTCTCTCTCTCTCTTTCACACATATTGTCTAACATTTTCCTTCAGTATATCCTTTTCTCTCGCTCGCTCTTCTCCATTATTTTTATGTTGTTCTGCCTGTCTCTAATTGTGCCTCTCTCTCTCTCTCTCTCTCTCTCTTTCTCTCTGTGTCTCTAGCTCTCTCTCTCTCTCTCTCTCTCTCTCTCTCTCTCTCTCTCTCTGTGTCTCTAGCTCTCTTCCTTTCTCTATCTGTTTTTCTGTCTCTGTCCTTATATCTGCTTTAGAATCTCTCTATCTTTTTTTTCTCTCACTTCCTCTCTCTCTCTCTCTCTCCCGCTCGTTTTTAATCTCCCTTTGTCCGTCTCTTCTTCTTCATCTCTTCATATTTCGTTGATCGATACAGCAATTCCCAATCTTCTCCCTGTAGTAACTCTCCTTTCACATCCAATTCCAAAGAGTCTTCACTGCAAAGCTTCTCCCTTGTGCAACTCTCTGCCTGTTCTCCGTCTCCCTCAATAAATTCATGTAGAAAAGTCTTTTCTTTTACAATACACAAAATATGAAGTAAAAATTGCCAACACTAGGAATGTGTCCGTCTTATAGGTGGTCCCAGGGCACAGGCTTATCTGCTTGCCCGTTTGTCCCTTAACTTCGATTCGAAGAACCTTTCAAATGAGGCAACAAATCAGTGAGCAGAACAAAACGCTGCGGTTACCGGCGAATTCAGTCATAAACTCAGCGAACGAGGGGGAACAGGTCCGGTCCAGGTCGGCTCTGGTCCGGTCGGCAGTATCGTAAAGAAAAAGTCTTTATGAGACGCCTAGCCAGATGACAACGTTGCCGGCTGACGGCGATTGCGTTTGATGATAATGAAGACCTTGCGACAATGTTCTCACTTGGCGGCCGTTGGCTAATGATGGGCGTCGCAGGGAAGGAAAGCGCAGACCTCACGCATTGGGGCAAGAACTTGGCAGGTTGCAAGCATGTTTGTTGGCGTTTTTGTTTTTTTCTTTTTGGAAATTTTTTGCGTTGCGCACTTTCATTTTCAGTGCGCCCCGTCGCATAATTAATTGCGACCGAAAGTGGACAACGATTTGAGCAGCCGTCGCAGAAAGTAAAATGCGCGCCAAAGGAACAACGAACCTGTCCAACACACAAAAATAAACCGGATCATCAATAGCAGGCTAAGAGCTGGAGCTGGAGCTGCATCTGGAGGCTGGAGGCTGGAGGCTGGAGAGATGGGTGCTGCATGAAGCTGTGCAACTTTCTTCTTGCTGCGGCAGTTGCTGCTGCTGCTTCTGACACACTAAACTGACGCAACGTGCGGCAACAAGTGCAGAGCATTCGCCACATTTCTGGCTGCCACATGGGACGCCCACGAGACGGCGACGGCGTCGGCTTCCTGCCGAGAAAAAGTGGCAAAGACTGTGGCATAAATGAAAATTAAGCATGTTTATGGCAAGTATGCGAAAAGGTGCAACAAGCATTGATCGGGGGCAGGCTGCCTTGTGCCTGCTGCCTGTTCATGCCTCATTCACACGCTGCTGCCAGCAGAGACGCACACAGCAAGGGGCTGGGAGGAGCTGGGGCATGACAGAACCAGTTTAATGGCGCATGAAATTTCACCGAAAAATCAGCGAATCTGCGTCTAGCTAAGGTGGCAAACGTTGCAGCACTTAGTTGTTGTTGTTGGCGTAGCGGGCGGGAGGCGTGGCATAGCAAGTTGATTTGCTTAAAAGAAATTCACTTTCCTTTGGGTTTTTACTTTTTCAAATACGATCGCAGCGCGCAAAGCAAAAGGCAAAGAAGGTCACGTCGTTGTAGATCATGAGGACTCGACAAGACACAGGCGAGTCGCGACTCTGGGAGCTGGTCAAAGCCAGTGCCAGCGCCAGCTCTAAGGCTAACAAACCCAAAAAGCAAACACAATTGAATGCAACTTGCATTCGCAATGAGCGAAAAATACTTTTAATGAAAGTTGGCACTTTGCTTTCGGCTGACTCTTGTTTCTCTCTCTCTTCCACCCTCTCTCCCCCTCTCTCTCTCTCTCTTCTCACTCGTTTTGGGGGTTTTTCAGATTTTGATTTGTGGCAGGCGACATGGAAAATGACAAGGAAAATGTTGCTTCATTGCATTGTGGCTACGTTTGGCTGACTCCAAAAGAGTCAACGTGCAGTTGGCCAAAAGGTGTTTTTTTCTCTCTTTCTCTCTCTGTCTGCCTGTAGCCTTTGCTAATTGGCCAAAAGAGGCTTTCAACTGGCTTTAATTGGCAATGAGATGTTCTATTTTGCAGCTACTCTGGTCTAAGCTAAAGCTGCCCAGGATTTTGTATACATATCTTGCAGCATTATATATATATACATATATAAGGATAGCTGTGGAGCTATGCAGGTGGATGCAACATGATCTATATCCATGCCTGAGAGACCTGAGCTTATGAAACTCAACTTGACAGCTTGACTTAAAAGTCAATTCGAATTCCAAAATGAAACTCACTTTTTTAACTTTTAAGCGTTTATTATTTTATATATTATACTATATTATTATTGTTTTTTATCAATTTATCACTTTTGTAGCATTTTCTAAGTTTCATTTAAGACTAATCGGGCAATGTATATAGATGTATATGCACCTTCTTGATTTCTACCCTCATTTAAACAATGCCAAACAATTTTTGGCAACCAGCCCTTTCCATTAATATTATAATAATATTTGAATTTAATTATTGAAATAAAATATAAAAAAAATAAAATATAAAATATATAAATTAAAATATAAAATATATAAATATAAAGATACATATATAAATATATATATATATATATTTATTTGCCTATACTTAAATTGCTGTATTTATATTTCTTATATTTGAAGTTGTAAATTTATATATTTTATATTTTAATTTTTTTATATTTTATTTTAAGAATTAAAAATTTTTTTATATATATATTTTAATGCTTATATTTAATTGAAAAATATATTTCGTATATTTATACCTATATATATATATATATATATAATTTCTTTCATTTATATATCTTTATTATTTATGTTATATTTATATTCCAAAATTTATATTTATATTTCTTGCATTAAATGAATTGTATAGAATATATTTCGTATATTTATTATTTTATTTCCTTTTATATTTCTTTAATCATATTTATTATTTTATTTCTATTTATATTTCTTAAATTTCTTCATTCTTATTTATAACATTCTTATAAGCTTATTAAACCTTATATCCAACTATTTTCTAAAAATGTATTTCATAGATACATTTTATTATGTTTATTTAAAATAACTATTAAAACAAATTAACAATTAATTGGCTGGCCTTGCAAGTTTCAGAGTGTGAAGTCACCGTTTGAAGCATGTTATAAGGGTGTTTGGGCGTATGGTGTGTGATGTGTGATGTATGATGTACAGATTGCTCTTATTCCTCCATTTCCTCCTCGTCGCCATAGGGGCGATTGTTGTGCATCGCCGACCAGCGTGGGATTCGGAAGAGCGCCCAGGTTGGTATGACCATCATCAGAAGGAGCGGCACCCAGCCGAGCAAAAACTTTTTGGCCGTCGATAAGGGGTAGCGGGGCGGTCCGCATATGGGCGCATGGCGACGCACCTGCTGCATCTGGCCGGCATAGCCAGACCCAACTCCACTTACACAATCCTTGCTCAAAGCTTGACCATTGGACACAGGCGGTCGTTTGATGGGCACCGTCAAAAGATGGCCCAAACGACTAAGACGCATCCTCAGTGCTGCCAACGAAAAATAAAATAAAACAAAATTGAATAAATAATAAAATTTATAAAATTTGAAAAACTTACTAAAGAGTTAAGTAGCTTTTCGGTGCTCAACAAGAATATGTTATGAAGCATCAGTCAACTGAGCACAGGGCCCGGCGCATAGGGTGAAGTCGAAGCCTACTGAGATTTTGCTTATGACAACAGGAAATATTTCACAGGGTTCAAATGCGCAATGCGCAAAGGTTAAGTAAGCATTATAAATGCTAATGAAAGAGTCTCGGTTGCCGTCTGTCGGTGGCTCGGTTTTGTGTCTGTGGCCCGCGGGGGCTTTCTTTATGCCACTTTGATTTGCGCCCAACAATGCTGCAAATAATAAAACAAAGACAAAATAAATATCCAAAAAGACGCTGAGAAATTATTATATTTGCCATTGCGTGCGCAAACAATTGACTTTTTTCGCCTCTCGCGACAGCTATCAGCGGCACGAGCAGAGATCAGTTGATTACATAAAAAACCAGCGAAAATGGAATGCATGAGTCGACCGTAGGGTCGTCCAAATCAGCTGAAAGCCAGATTATGCACAAGTAGGCTTAACTGTCGTTCAACCGCAATTTTCAATAATCAATTTTTACATTTCATATTTAAATAAAGTAACTGAAATGTATTGGTTGTTGTATTGGATAAATCCGGTTCTCCACATATCGATTACATATTTCAAATGTTGCGCGCACACACAACTATCGATATTATCTCACCGCCACATTTAACATACATGCAACATCAGTTGATATGCTCTGTTAACTGTAGTTAAAGGCGACTTCTGCTGTCCTATGGGAATACAGTTAATTTTAATACTTATTATGATACTAACTAGGAGTATTTATTAATTTATCTACTTAACATCGGCAGCAATTAGTTAGACATCAACATTTCTGCAGCTGTTAACTTTTTGGATGCCCACAGTTGCTTAAGCAGCTGTTCTGTTAAGTATCAACAGCGATACAAAACAAAACAATGCACGAAATAGAAGCACATAAAGCGCGTATTACTCGGATCGAGGAATTTATTAATGATGTGCTTAAAGAAGATCTCAAACGTCTTGAGCAGTGTCTCAATCAGTTTAACGAGGAGATCATGGAGTATGTTCAGCTAAAGAACACGTTGCAAACATTTGGCGAGCACATGCCGGACGGCTACAAAACACAGGTTAACATTGGCAGCAACATTTTTATGCAGGCGCGCGTTAAACAAATGGACAAAATACTGGTCAATGTGGGCAAGGAACTGTTTTTGGAGATGAGCATGCCGGAAGCGATAAGCTTCAGTGATGTACGCGTCAAAATTTTAACCAAACAGGCGGACGTAGTGCGAGAGGAGAGTGTGAAGAAGCGCTCACAAATCAAGATGGCGCTGATAGCAATTAGTGAGCGAGAAAAGCTGCTGCAGCAACAGGATGAAAGATAGCGAGGGATATGCTTTGGGCGGGTAGTGTTACAAAACGCTGTGTTTATGCACGTTTACATCGATATCGATATACAAGTTAATCTTTTAAATGTGAATTTATCGACAGTTATAAACTCGATTAAGCGCAAATAGTCAAATGCAATTCGCAAATAATATTAATTTCTATTATTCTTTCTTATCAAAATCAATTTATTTAAAAATTACAACTTTCAATTTACATCTGTTGGCCAAATGTGTGTTAAAATAAAAACGCTTATTAAACAGAATTGTAAAAAGTATGAGTATTATCGTATATGCAATAAACCACAAGTAGAAGAGATGTATTAATAAGATTCTCACTGCATGCTAGATGCTGACTATCATTTTCCGGCTAACACACGTCTGTTTCGGGTTCCAAATGTTCATCGGCTCGCATGGATTTAATTATGGACAAATCCAGCGAATTACTTTTCAGTGCTTGGCACTGTGCAGAGAGGCGCTGTGCCGTACTTGACATAAACCTCAAACGATCACTCATCTGGAAATTGAATTAGAAACTCAGCATAAATATTGTATGTATATTTGCTTTGCCACTCACTTCGTCGTTCTCCGTCCGACCACTGGATACCTCACCGTCTGGTTGCTGTTGGTTAGAAGGATATGTCTCATAGCGGCTATAAAGGCGCCGGTATTCCTCGCACAGACGTTGATTCTCCTCCAGCAATAGGCTGATGTGCTCCTCGGCGCGCTGGATGCATTGACGCATGGCATCATCCGATCGAATCTGTGCATCCTTCCATTTGCGGAACGACTCAATGATCTGTTTCTGCTGCTCATTTACGTTCGTCTGCTGTCTACAGAGAGGGATTTTATACTGTTTAGGCTCGGTTCAAACAACGCTATCGGATCCACCGTACCGCATACATACTTCAGCTTGAGCTGCATCTGTTTACATTCGCTGGCAACGGCGCGCATTTCAAGACGCATATCCTCGTTCGCCTTATACAAACGGTCCAGCAAACTACGTGATTTCTTAAGCTCCTGATCTCGGTATCTCAGCTGATTGCACAACGCTCGATCTTTTCCACTCCACTCGGCGTCCTTCTCCTTCAGGGCAGAGACCTGCTCGCGCAGCATATTCCGCTGGGACCATAAAACGTATTGTGCCAATCAATTTGGCTTAAGTTTTATGCCAACTCACCTCTGTTTTAAGCTCCTCCTGATTCTTCTCCAACAGGCTCAAGCGGTCCTGCAGGCACTGCACATCACGATTCGCTCGACGCAGTTCCTTATGTTGCTTCTCATACATTTCCATCGCTGATTCATTGTTTTTCATTATCTTCTGTCGCTCGTCCTCCTGAGCTTTGAGCAAACTAGCAATTTCCAGAACTTTCTGTGACTGTTCACCTGCAGTTATCAGTTTTCCGATTATATGGCCCACTTCGAATAGTTCATCAAAAAACTTACAATTTTTTTGCTTCAGTGCTACAATTTCATCCTGGAGTCTGTTAGTCTCTTTTAAATCGATATAACCTGTTAGAGTAAAACGCAGTTGCTCGATTTCCTGTTCACGTACCATCAAAGTCTTCCGCAGACTTTCGATTTGGCAAACCAGTCGATCGTTCTGAAATTAATTAATTAAAATAATAAATATAATTAATAAATTAAAATAAAATGTAAATGAAAAAGAGTTTTAAAAGAAGTGAAGTCAATCAATTATGCAGACAGAAGGAAGAATGAAAATTAATTATATTGAGAACTTTTCTATAGAGACCTGAAGTGATTTCAAGGTAAGAGAAAATAAAAATGAAAAATGAGCCACATTTACAGGACAGCAAAAAAGAAAATACTGATAAATATATCAATTGCAGATATTACATATAAGCTTAAAAATAAGAGTGATCCATAAATTAAATAATTAAATAAATTAAATAATTAAATTTTTTATTTTTCCTGAAACAAATATTCCATTAAATATCAAGAAATAAAAAATAATTGCATAAACAAATAAAATTGAAAAAAATTAATAATAAATAATTACGAAACACTAAATAGCTCTTTGGATTACTTAGTTCCTAAGTATTATGATGTGGTACAAAAAAGAAAGGGAAAAAGAGAATTCATATATATTTGGCAAAATTATGAGAATTTTTGGAAAGTATTCTACAAGCGAAAATTATAATGAACCAAATCTATATTATACAGATCGAGTTATATAATATATATATATATATATGTTATATATATTATATTATATTCTATATAATCTTTTTCAAGCTCTAACTTGCAGCTCCAGTTCAATTCGTGGCGGTTCCTCGTTATAAGCCTGCTCCAGTTCCTTGTGCATTTGTGTCTCACTTTGTTGCAGCTGTTGTTGTTGTTGTTGCTGTTGTTGTTGTACATGTTCCGTTAGCTCTTCGAGATCACGCTGAAACTCCTCAATAATGCTCAGATAATTGTCTCTTGTGGCCTGCAACAGCTCCGAATGCGCCTGGCAATGGATCAGCGTGTGCTCCAATTGCTGTCGATGCGGACAATCCTCGCCTGGCTCAGTCTACAATAGGCAATAGACTCTCAAGCTCAATCAACATTCTAAGTTAAAGCATTGCCTGGCTTACCATGTCTAGTCCTGTGTTGACCGATAGAAACAACAATTTCCCTGTGTTTATGTGTCGCTTCGATTGCCTCGATTGCTTGCGGTGTCAAATGGTTTTTTGGGGGCTTTCGTGCAGCTCGCTCAAAATATTTATAAATGCCTTCATTACCATTTCATTTCAGTCCAATAATATTGCTATTAAAACTTTGTCACGGAAATAAAAGCAAATCACATTTCGTACTTGTGGGTGGCAAAGTTTAGGTTTCCAATTCTTTAGCACTTTCGCCTCCAACTCTCGCTTGTCTGGCATCAATAGTTTTTTTTATAGATATGTATTATGATATTGACTGTTTGACACGGATTTTGAGAATGAACTTTCGTGCGTTCGATATGAAATTATATCGTTGAACGCGCTCCACGATTGAATCGGATTGAATGCATGGCTGCGCGCATTTATAACACCTTTAAATGTCGTTCATATGCTCTACTGGGGCCTGACACAGATATTTTACTTAATTTCATGTGAAAATCGATTACGGAAAAGTCTGTTGTGCGGCGAAAGTGTTTAAATCTGAGCTAGTCTTTAATGTTGCAAGTTGTTTGTTAAGGCGTATTAGTTAGGAATATATGAACATATATATGATGGAAAGATATATAGCGATATATTTTATGAAAAAATTTTGAGAGATAAAAAATAGTTTTTATGAAAGCATTTTAAGTGTACTGAATTAGATTTAAATTTTCTGTAAATATTTGAACTGATTTTTGTTAACTTGAACTTGATCAGACATTGAAATAAATAAGAATATGTTCAAACTAATAAAAAATATAGCAAAAATTTAACTTAAAATCTTTTGTGATTAAGATATAGAATTAAATATTAATTTAATGTAAATATGTTATCAATTTTTTTAAAAGTAATGTTAAGTCTGTTTCAGCTTCACGAACTGGCGTATTAAGGAAAGCCAACTGCCAAAGAATATTCATCCTTAACAAAGACAAGCCGAGGGACTTTTTGAGCACTCAAAGGACAGAATAAAGCGATCATCTGCAGGGTAACTTTTGATACCAAAAATCAAAAATTAAATGCAAGATAAACGCCTGAATATTTTGAAATAAAAATAAAGTAATTTTCATTATTTTTTACGCTTTCAATATTACACGCACTATCTAAAAGGCAGCACTCGTATTAATTGCAATTGTCAAGCAAGTCACAGAACAATTTTCAAACTTTGTCAAACTACAATCAGCCCTAACACACACCTGCACTCCGGGACAATTGATATATTAGTAAAGTTTCGTGTTGCTGTTTGTCGTCAATCAGCGCACTTATAAATTTCACCCTGCACACTTTTCGAGCACCTTCATTTGCAGGTATTTCAGCTTTTCAGCTAGCACTTGAAAACAATTTGCACTTTTGGCCAAGTTTGTGATTTTGCTGGCTCAAAGGAGAAACTTTGCTTAATTGCACACGTATCCGTTCGGCATCAGCGAAGCGTCCTTCTCGCTGTCCTGGCACCTGGTAAATATTATCGCCTCGCCCAGACACTTCAGTTCAGTTCGTTGCCAAAGGAGTAAGGACAGAGACGAACAATGTCGAAGTCGTCGTCCTCTTTAAAAGTTGGTGGCGGCAGAGGCGGGTGGCAGTTGCTAGCTCTGTGTCTGTTGCGGGTGCAACTAATTAAGGCACGTAAACTGTTTGTTTTATGTCTTGATTTAGTGAGGCCCGACGAAGTGAAACATTGGCAACACCGCTGTTGATTATTATATTTGCCGATTTCATATTTCACTATTCCGTTGTCGGTTTTCGGTATTCAGTATTCGGATTCGGTTTACTGTTATCCCCCGACAAGCTTGATTTGTTTCACGCGAATAAACAGCAACGTTGACGTTGAGCCCTGGACTACTCCGGCGACTGTTCGGCTGCCTTTGGCTGATAGCTTGCTGTCAGTCTTACTTCTCGCTCGCTCTTTCTCTGTCTCTCTCTCTCTCTCTTTACCCTCCTGCTGCTGTCAGGCTCATCGATATGCATATCAGTGCTCGCTTAGCTCGCGTGTCGATTGTGGGTAAATAAATAACACGAAACCTATTTCTGCTCCTAGCTAATTTAGGGGGCGGGCCCGAGGCGACGGAAGGCAGCTTAACCGCCTTTCAGGGTTCACTCCGATTCCAGTTGAACTCATTGGAGTATCAAGCGGTTTGTATTTGTCCAATGTTAACAATAGAGTAAGTCATTGCTTCGACAGGTTTCAGATTGTTTTTTCATTTTTGTTTTACAAAATATTCAAGTACATAAATCAAACGACGCGAATGGAATGTCGGGAACTGCAGCGGTATATAATGGTATATAAGGATATATATATAACAATGCCAATGCAATTTTATTACATACCTTGGCTGGTGCACATATTTGCAAGCGAGGGCTTTATTTGTAATTATAGTTCTCATTTCAGCTGTGCTTGGAAATAAATCTGCTAATATAAGAGCTCAAAACAAGTGCAACTGATGCCTAATAGTTCAAACTTTCCAAGTTTTTATCTATTTAGATTAAATATTTGTTTATTGCTAGGATTACTTTCATTACAAAATGCGTTTAGTAATATATAGTGATATTTATATACATATTTGGATAGGATTAACTTCGACATACCTTTAAATTATGTAATTTTAAAGCCAACAAAAGTGATTTCTGCAAAATAGTAACCTGGAATACGAACAATATAATATCTACCTAAACTAAGAAATTTAAAGTTGAGAGCACAGCAGCGCAGATCCATTGACGTGAAAACTCATATATTTGTCTGGAAAGGAAGCTGCGCTTGGCTGCATGCATATTAGGCATTTGAAAGAATTATTTTAATAAATCTTAAGTTATCTCCACTGACGTCAACCAAACCAAATTCTGAAGAAGTATTCGTACAGCCCTCGTTTAGCCTACAATTTGCATGTGTAGAGCAAATTCATTATTGCATTTGCATACATAATATATATATATATATATATATATATATATATATATATATATATCCATTCCACGAGAAACAGAAGCAGAAGTGCACTCAGTTTATTGCAACTTTTGGCTTATGGAGTTTTGCTTTTGGCGGGAACTTGATGCATTATTTTTATGGCTGATATATGTCTGTACATTATAGGCAACTTATAGCTAAAGTTGAAAGTCAACTTTTTGCTTATGGTAACAAGTGTAAAAGCTTAACTAAATTAAACTAATTTAAACTAGGCTTCAGCAGCTTCGGGGGGTCCACAAGTTAAGAATTGTTGTTGTTGTAGGTGTTGTTATCGGCTATGTATTGTGGGCAGGTGTTGTGGGCTCGTTGTTGTTGGCCTGAATTTGGCATACGATCATTTGGATAAGAAAGCCTTCGGCCTTTTAAAAATATGCATTACTTACGAATAATTGCAGGTTCTCCTCCTCCTTACTGTTCTCCAGCTCGTTTAACTTCTCATACATTTCCATGATGGCTATACAAAATGGATTCTCTGTAGATTTTTCAGTATAGATTTCCTCATATGACAGATCAGAGCAGCGCTGGCGACAGACACAAGCAGTCTTGCATTAAATTCTATTCATAATTTATATTATTTGTTAATCTTCTTACCAGCTTGGAGAGTAGATCAGCTATTTCTTTCAAGGCTTTGCTATTTTTCGCATTGATTTCTTTCTCAGCTTCGAAAGCGCAGCGGATATTCATAAGCTCAACTAGGCAGATCAAAGATCAATATATATTCTATATAGATGTATATATCTTTTAATACTTACATCGTTGTTGGGCTTCCGCCTGTTGGCACCTGCTGTTCAGCTGCTTGTTGACCTCGTTGATCGTCTTTAATCGCCGACGCAGTCCATCGATTAGCTGATTATCATAATTATCTTCGGATCGCTGAGTGTCGCAGCAAGACGGCACTTCCAGCTCGTCTATATTGCCATCCAATGATCGCAGCTGTGCGCGCAAGTTTTCCAATTCGCCAAGTGTTTCGCTGCGATCAGAGTTCTAAGAAATCGTTTGGAGGTTCTTATAGTGAATGTTCTCGAACTGGGGTCGCATAGCAAATGACCTACAATTCTCTCGAAGATGCAGGAGAGCTGCTTTCGCCTACACTCCATGACCTGAATGTCCTTGGCACTTAAGAGATCCATGAACTCCGTCAGCTCCTTATTGAGCAGGCGCATCAGCTGGTTCGCCTGCTGATCCTTCTCGTTGATGTTGTCAAACAAACAGCTGCTGCAGTCCATCGTATCGAAGACCTCCTCATACTGCTCAACTAGTCTGGACTTGCTGTTCACATCCTGTGTCATATTTGCCATGCAATCTTGTAGTTCCGCCAACTAAACAGCATTCACAGATTATAAATTAACACAAAAATGTATATATTCTAAACTCAAATTTTGTTTAAGTGTTGTGTGTGGATAAAAGATTAAAAAATACTCCCAAAACAAAATATGGCCTCAAATCAATAAATGTCAAATGAAAAGTTGTATATATGGAATATAATTCAAGGCGCAGATCGGGGGGTTCAGAGTATCTGCTAGTCGGCAACAGCCGCAGAAGAGCTTATTTATTTGCAGCGAAACGCTTTGTATAGAAGCCACGAAGGCGATAATGCCTTCCAAGGGCGTGGCAGGTTATTAAGAGATCTGCAGCTTTTTTAGCTTTCTGTTATATAGATATATATATACACTATATCTATATGTTATATATACACCATATAGTAACCATGGCTTACCTTCTGACCAATGGAATAGTTCTATGTTCCCTCTATCTATGTGGAATAACTAAATGTATACATTGAGCGCTTCTAACCTTCGTTCTACAATATCAAGCTCAAATTATGAATTCAATAAATGCAATAGAGAATAATCTTCAAATTGGAAACTAAGCGATCTTCTATTTCAGATATAGAATAGACTTAATTTGGTATTCGCATTTAGCAATCATTTTTAGGCTCAAAACCCTGAAGTCATCTATGGCCAGCTCTTTCAATTCAGTGCTAAGATCAAAATGATCCTCGAGGATCAAGTATTGAAAAACGTAAATCTACAATCAAATTTTGCATCTTTTGTCGAAGCATTGCAGTTGATTACGTACGTAACATAAATTCTTTCGCTGTTTCGCTCACCTGTTGATTGAGCTGCGCTATGCATTGGTCTTTGAGAATGAGCTTCTGCCGCGCCGTTTGGACCACCTCGTCGAGGGTACAAATCTGGGCCTGCAGGCGGCAAACCTCGTCGTGCTTGGCGGCCATCTCATTGGCCAGAGAATTCATGTCTTTGGTTACCTGCAATCAAATAATGCCAATCAGAAGTCAAATACGACGCTTTTAGATAACACGATAAAAGAGAAACTAATTTATTTCAAGTCAATTAAATTCGAACACCAAAGACGAAAGAAAATCAAAAACAAAGTTCAAAACAAACATGGCATGCACTTATCGGCGATTGGATTCACTGAATACAATTCGATCAGAATATTTTACGCGTTGCATCTGGGCTTTAGTAGTCTCGGCCTTCTAGAAGAACACACGATGATATGAATGCTGCCCCTAGCAGGCCCTGTTGATAAGCAAATGGGCAACCTACCTTCTCGGTTTCGCTCTCCGGACGTGTCTGATCCACCTGTATGCCCAATAGCTGATTGACTGTCAACGTTTCCAAGCATATGTCATTCGTGTTCCAGGTGTTGTGATGGAAAGCCTGCTGAACCAGCTTGATAATGGCGCACATATCCTTGCGCAGCTTACGATTCTCATTCTGGGCCTGTTGCTGCTCACCGCGCACCGACTGAAAACAGTTCATGATCTTCTCGTAAGCCTCCACCTCCATGGCGGACATATTGCCAAAGATAATGTAGTTCACATGCAGCAGCAGATCGACCCAATCTTGAAATGTGACCAGACGCAGCTGTGACGATATATTCTATAGTGGGAGCAGTTAGGAAGTCAGTTTCTCGCTGAAGCAGTTCTTCAAGCAAATTATAACTATAGTATTCTATGTAGCACCCTTCTCCAATACCCACCGAATCGCCGCCGCATTGCTCATCCAGGCAGTCGATCTCCTCGAGTCGCTTAAGGAATATGTTATTCAGCTCAAAGTTCATAATGGCCGCATGGCCGCAAATGCTGCGCAGCTTCTGCAGCTGATTGCGATAGTGTTCCGTAGTTATGGGCGTCGATCTGGAATTGTGTTTGTGTTGTTCAACAGTCGTCTCACATCCACCAACCGCCAAGTTGGTCGCAGCAAACTGACTGCATAGGTACGGCAGTTCGTTTTCCACCGATTGTGGCGGCTTTGGTGATTGTGATGGCTGCTGTTCATCCTTTGTCAGCTCTTTAGGCTGCTGCACAGTTTGATTTGCATCTTGTACTCTTGACTGCTGTTCATACTTTTCCTCCTGTTTTTGCTGCTGATGCTGTTCGAATTGGGCCGAGGGTGGAGGGCCGCGCGGCGTAGATGGCGGCGATGTGGACTGACCCATGGTCTCAGCATTCGTGCAGAAAACACGGCGTTCGTTCATCCCGAAACCCCTTTTAGACTCCCAAAACAAGAATGAATAATTTCCGTAACAAGTTGACAAAAACGGATCAAGAATAATGTCAATTTGTTGTTAAATTTTAGCCTAGAATCGCTTGTGTAATTAAGCCAAGTGTTCTAGTCTGGTTCGATTCAAAAAGTGAATGGTGACAGTCTCCAAGGCATTGCTAATGCTGTCTGGGCCTGCTACGATTCGATCCGATTTCGATTCCTAACTCAAATGCAGTTTTCCTCACGGTTAAATCATGCTTCACTCTAAGGTCACTAACTTTACACACGCAACCGTTAAAAAAAAAATAAAAATAAAACACAACAATAACAACAGCGACGCAACAAATGTTAATAAAAATCGGAAAAAATTATATTTATTCGATTCATCTAACGTTCAAGCGAACCTTGGCTGCGACGCGGACGTTGTTGTGGGCAGCGACTGCGACGGCGGCGGCGGCGGCGTCGGCGTCGGCGTGTTCATATCTTTTGTTTGCCGTCTTCTGACGTAGATTTGTTTATTTTCATAAGTATTCTACATATATCAAAAAAGTACATATATATATGTAAATTATTTGTATGTATATATATAAATATATATATATTCTTGTTTTTACGCCCGTTGTTCTGCACACACACACACACGCAAGCACGCGAGCAAATGGTTTCGGCTTTCAGCAGCTTTTAGTTTTGGATACCGTCTCCACTTTTGCTGATGCTGTTGCTGTTGTTAGCTTTTTGCTCCGATCGGTGGTACTTCACAGTTCCAATTCGAATTCTGCGACCGCGTGCTGACCGCTGCGCTTGGTAAACGGACGGCAACTGAGCGAGCGACGCATACACCACAAATATTGTGCGTCTAAAGTGCACACAACTTGCCCGTATGGCAATATCACATGCAGATACCCTGTAATCCAAATGAGTGGGTATGTGAACTTCACAGCGATAAGTGACTGAAAAGAGATGTTACTTTGAGTAGTAACTCAATCTATATATCTATAGCTATATCTCAATCTCTATCACATCCATATCTATACCTATATCTATATCTATATCTATATCTATATCTATATCTATATCTATATCTATATCTATATCTATATCTATATCTATATCTATATCTATATCTATATCTATATCTATATCTATATCTATATCTATATCTATATCTATATCTATATCTATATCTATATCTATATCTATATCTATATCTATATCTATATCTATATCTATATCTATATCTATATCTATATCTATATCTATATCTATATCTATATCTATATCTATATCTATATCTATATCTATAACTCTAACTCAATGACCATCTGTATCGATATCGGAACCTATAAAGATATCCATATCTGTACCTGAATTCAAACATTTATCTGCATCTAAAGCCATTTATAGTCACAAAATTAGTAGAGTACAGGGTACCAATCGGTCGACTATTAATGTCTTAACTTGATTCGTTTTTGTTTAGCAAGGCTCCATTCGAGCGCCTCCAACTGCTGCTCTCTCTCTCCATCGCTTTCGCTCTCTCTCTCTCTGTCTGTCTGTGGCCGCCAAGACACACGCGCTGAGGCTTGGCCTTATCAGTGCGTCAGATCGAATCGAACTCGATCGAATCAAAATCATCATCAGAATCTTAACTGGAATCGGCGCCTCTGTCTTTGTCCCCGTCGCAACGCGTCGCTGGTGTCAGTGTCTCTGTTTACCCAACAACTTAGCGTATTTATTTTCAAAATCAAAATCCCCAAATCACTTCTATTTGCGCAGCTTCGTGCACGCAGGCGGGCGAGACCGAGTCGGGTGGTCGGCACGAAAGTTGTCCAATTTAATTGATAAATAATTATAATTTAGCTATCTATTTGCCAGTTAGATAAGTTTATTTACAACAAAATTTGCTTCGCTTGAAAGTACCCTGTACTCAGCCAAACATTACTAGAAGTTATTCCCTATAAATCCAAGTTGAGCATCTGAAACAGTTGGAAGATATCGATCCAATTTGCGAGCTGTGTACCTATTTAGTTAAGCCAAAAATGCAGCCTTTAAGTACGAAGATAAATCGCAACGAATCGATTTATAGGCTCATACAGAATTCATATTTCAAGCTTTTATTTATTATAATTGTATTGGCTACAGGGTATAAAAACAGTTGAAGCAAAGCATTTACAGCTGGCGAAAATTAGAAACCAACCGAACTAAAAAACACCTGTAATTAACTAGCGCCAACAGTTGATAAGAAATAGCTCAAAAAAGGCATGTTTATAAAATAAATTCCTTTTTCAAGTGTAGACGATATTAAGTTAAGAGCTTCAATTTAAGCTAGCAAACCCCTAGCTGAACTCATTTCCAAAGAAATTAAATAAATATATAACATTTAGTTTTCCTGAATAAAAGCAAATCATGATGAAACGTTTTTAATTTTTGCTACATTCAAGCATCACTTCCTTAGGTTTACTTTAACGTAAATATATAAAGTTGTGTCTATTTTGAATAGATCAGAGAATTGACGGTTTCCTTTAGGTATTCCGCAACAATTCTAGTTAATTGCCCTATTTTACAGTAATTCCACAAATAACACGTACAATGTACATTTTAACGTTCATATACGTTTTATTTATATATATATATATATATATATATATCTTTATATATATAATATATTATTTTTTCCATACATCAGAACAAAAAATTATATACAATTCGTTTAAACGCCTTTTGCTCGTCTGACTTCATGCTTACGCTTATATTTATTTAATGGACTCACATCATTTTGCAGTTAATTTTTCGTATTTTTCTCAATATTTTAAAGAATGAAAAATAACACAGAAGTGTGCATAAATAAAAACTATAGAGAAAAGAAAACACTGCTGAATATATGGGGCTGGTATTGACATGTTTCTTGGCTATACCAACTAAAATAGTAGTAGATAAACAACTTTTATACACCTATATAGTTTTCATAAAGCCTGCTCACGTATACTATGTGCAGTTATTTATATAAAAAATCGATTTAAAAATGTCTTTTTTACTTTTAACTCTGTTCACATGAATCTCAAATATTTAGCGTTTTAAGGTTTAAGTTTAGTGTTGATCTTTCTGTTCTCTTTTCTTTTCAAATGCATTTTTTTGCATTCTTAAAGAGGCGAGAGTTGCGTAAAAATGTACATGAAACGCTCACTAAATTTATTATTCATTTAGAAATTTATTATTTTAGCTATATTTATACTGCTGCTTAGAATTAAGTTTTGCATTATGCATTAATTCTTAAGTTTGCTTCGCTTACGCTTCTCCATCCAAGCTGTGTGTGTGTGTGGGCTTATTGCTATACATATTGTTGTTGCTAAATTGTAAACGTGTGTTGGCGCTTGTTTTGTGCCTCAAAACAGAATTAACATAGTGTGAGCGTGAGTGTGAGTGCGAGTGTATGTGTGCATGTGTGTGTCTGCATATATGTGTGTGTGTGTGTGTTTGGTGTGCAGATGAAAAATCGTGTAAAATAAATTGCAAAAAATTTAGAGAATAGTCGAAATTATATTATGGATAGCAATGGCATGAGAGAGAGAAAGAAGGAGAGCTGCATAACCATCTATAGATTAGCAATAACTGTTCAATTTTGAATGTCAGGCTTACAAATTTCGCACTTGTCTATTCTATTTAACATCTTGGTCAAAATATATGATTCCAGTTTGGATGCTCGTGGTTGCATTGGCGCTTAATTGAAGTTGTTGATAGTTGTGTTACCGATTAATTGCGAATTGATAAAAGTTGAAAATGAGGGAGAGGAGGTTGTTGTGGGGGTTAGATGGAGAGGGATTTGAGGAGAGATGGGGCAGTTGCTCGTGTATAGTTGGCATTCGATTGCAAAATGATGAGTATGTGGACACTCTTTAAGCCAAGTAGATGTACACTTTGCGATCCTCTGGCGTTCGCGCCAGATATTCACGCTCGATAAGACCTTCAATGCGCTTTTTGATGAACACGGGCGAAGGCAAGAAGCGTGATTTTAACTGCGACGTTACGTCGGAGACAAGCAGATTGTGCTAAAAATATTACAAAAAAAAAGATTATAAGTTGAGATTAATTGTTAGGAAACAAATAATTTTGTGATTATATGATTTACCGCCATGCGTTTGCGCGCCTTCATAATCCTCACAATCGCCGCCTCGATTTCATGCTTGCGATCTTCATCCACCTTGCCACGCGTCTCCTTGCGTTCCGGCTCTGATTCACCCTTGGCAGCAACGGTTTGGATCTTTACCCTGCACGAGTTCAAGTCAAAATTATAAAACCTCATCTCTCGTCATTGAAATGAGAATACTCACCTGTGGAACTTGGAGACAAATGCATCGTTCACATAAAACTCGTCCGAGGGCTCAATGTCCTTTGTTTTCGTTTTAGAGTTGCGTACTAGCAATCGCTGTGCAGGCTTGCCCATTGACAAAGATTGCAGTGCACGGACCAACTCACGCTCGGGTATATCCGTCTCTTGGTGTATGTCATCATAGGTCAGTACATCCCGATTGTTAAACAACAACAAAACGCACATCTACATATCATAATAGAGATTATATGCTAACTATATATTAAGCTGAAGTAATTTCTCACCTGATAGGTGGACACTTGTAATATATGCTTGCGTGTTGTAGTGGGCACAGCACAGCCACTTGAACTTGAGCTTGGCCCGTCCTTGTCCTTGTCGCTGTCATTCGCTTTGCGGCCATAGAAAACGGCGTTGATGTAGGCAGTGCCTGTAGCAATTCAATAAAAATAACAAGCCGTTAGCAGAAATTGCTCAGGTGCTATTTAGAATGATGCTAACATACCCATCTGCGGCTGTAATGTCAGCTGCCGACCCGAGTGCTTGTCCAGGTAGAATTTCTTAAACACCTCAAAGGCCTCGCGCGGTGCTGAGGGTATGTTGCAATTGGGCGTTGCCGTCTATAAATAGAGTATTGAATATTATAGAAGGGAATATTATATAAGTGAAGGGGAGTTGTATAATAACCTGTGTGGGCCAAAAACCGGTGGTCAAAATGCGCACCGTCAGCTCCACGCCGCTCAATGACAAACTGTTATTATTTACATAGCTTTTAAATTCATCCATAATCGTATTGGACACGGACATATCCTTGAACATGCCCTCCAGTTTTGATGTAAATTGACAGCCACATTCAGTCTGTAACAGTTAAGAGGAAAGCAGATTAGAGAAAGCTTTGAAAATCGAATTCAATTTATAATAATTGCCTTTAGTTTGGATATCATATTCTTCTCAAAGTCATCGGAGACCGATTTGTTGAGC